AAATCATTAAGCGAAAATCGCCCATAGGGAAAATCGTTAAGTGAAGTGCAAGATCGCTCCAAAAAAGCCATCGTTAAGTGAATTTTTCGTTGTACGAAGCAATCGTTAAGCGAGGCACCACTGTATATTCTTGAAGGCTTTCACGGCCTGGATCCAATGGTTGTTGTATATTTTGGGGGGGGTCATGTTCTGAAGGTTTTTCTTCCTAATGTTTTGTGAGTCTCTGTGGTGGGAATCTTCAGAGGACAGGAATTAGAACTCTGTCTATGTTCTGGTGTAGTGTGTCGGATGGTTGAGTATTCATAGCTGTGGATCAGCTTTTTGTCCTTTTCAGGAGCTTGGGTGATCAGGGTACTTTTGTTGTGAGTGTATTATTGTGATAAAGGGGCAGATGATCTATCACTGTGATTGATGGGTATTGTTAGCTAGTCTTTTGTGTGCAGTGATCACCGGTCCTTGTGGCTGGGTAGAGTCTGATGACCTTCTTGCAGGCTGTATTTTTCAGTGCTGGGAGCCAGGCTTTGTTGAGTTTTAGACCTCTTTTTTGTTGAAGTTTTGCTGATGTTTGTGGATTTCAATGGCTAGATGTCCGGTATACTCCTGCAGTGATGAGGGGGTCCCTTTTGTCCTTTGCTGACTGTAACATTTGTTGTATTTTTGGGGTGGGCCTGGATACTGTTTGTAGGTTGTGTTTTTTCAAAAGTTTCCCCATATGGTCCGTGACCCATTTGATGTATGGCAGAAATATTTTATTTGTGGGTGGCTTCTTTTCTACTTCAGTTCAGTGTTGTTTTCTCATTTTGATGGCTCCTGTGATTTCATTCTTGGAATAGCCATTTGCGTGTAGGGCAACTCAGATGGTTGGGTTCGGTGCTGAGAAATGGAGCTTCACAGTTCTAATTCACATGGTCTACCAGTGTTTTGATTATGCCTGTTTTTTGTTGTGGGTGGTGGTTGGAGTTTTTGTGTAGGTACTGGTTTGTGTGGGTGGGTTTATTACTCCATTCCTCCTCTGTCAATGTGATTCCTTTTTTTCCCCCTTTCTTCCTTCCTGCTTCCCTTTCCCCATTCTATCCCTGCCTTTCTCTCTCATGATGGCAGCTGTAAGCTGAACTCTTGGAGGATGTCTCCCAGCTAAATAGGCTAAGGTAAAAGGTAAAGGTAAAGATTCCCCTTGACAATTTTTTGTCCAGTCGTGTCCGACTCTAGGGGGTGGCGCTCATCCCGCTCTTCAAGCCATAGAGCCAGCGTTTTTGTCCGAAGACAATCTTTCCGTGGTCACATGGCCAGTGTGATTTAGACACGGAACGCTGTTTACCTTCCCACCGAAGTGGTCCCTATTTATCTACTCGCATTTGCATGCTTTCGTAGGTAAATTGCCCTTTATTTCACCAGAATAAGTCTATGTCATCCATGTTTCATAAAAACACAATCATTAAATTAGATTCTTGCTTGATCATTTAATTTCTATACTTTATTACAGAATTTGGAACAGGGTTTTCCTTTGCAGGTTTGAGGAAGGATTTGAGTAGGAGTGGGAATTAAGGGTGGCAAGGCAGAAAAAAACTAGGATCTTACATCAATGAGAGAATTAAGCAATTAATGGAATTTATGTCTTTTCCAGTAGTCATTGCAAAATACAGTATATAGTTTATCCCCTCCACTCTTGGTCTTCACAACAAAAAATATGTGCAATGGGCTAGGTTGAGTTCCTGCCCCAATATCATCTAGTGAATTTCATTGCTCAGTAGCATCTTGAGAATCTGGACCTCTCAAGTCTAGTGCTCTTGACATCACATTGCTCTACCTAGTCTGCAGTGAGTATTTGTGAATCTTCCATTACAGATATTCAGCAGCTGGAGACCCACATGAAGAATAAGAAAGCCCGAGACCAGGATGCCCGGGACTCTCAGCTGAGCCAACTCCGACAATTGGTCAGCTCCTTCCAGAGCACTACTGACCAACTGGCATCGACCATTGCAACCAGTGTACACACCGAGGTGCAACATCAACTCCATGTCATCGTGGGCAAGTGAGTTTTGGGGAGCAGTGATTGCCTCTCCTCTAGAATTAATGTAGAACTTTAGAGCATTCTCACCGCATTAGAATTCTGCCTGCTCTAACCGGGATGAATAGACATAGGCTTGTGCGATGGGCCATAACTAAGCTTGACAATCAAGTTGAGACAAGTGCAGCCTTCACATGCAAACATAATAAAGCTCACAATGGAGAGAGGTGAAGAGCGGTGTGCCCCAGGGATCTCTCCTGGGACCGGTGCTTTTCATTCTGTTCATAAATGACCTGGAGACAGGGATATGCAGTGAGGTGGCGAAGTTTGCAGATGACACAAAACTTTTCTGGGTGGTGAAGACCAGAAGGGATTGTGAAGAGCTCCAGAAGGATCTCTCCAAACCAGGAGCATGGTCACCAAAATGGCAAATGTGTTTCAGTATAAGAAAATGTAAAGTAATGCACATTGGGGCAAAAAAAATCAAAACTTTAGTGATCAGCTGATGGGTTCTGAGCTGTCCATGATGGATCAGGAAAGAGATCTTGGTGTGCTGGTGGAAAGCTCAATGAAAGTGTCAACCCAGTGTGCGGCGGCAGTGAAGAAGGCCAATTCCATGCTAGGCATCATTCAAAAGGGGCTTGAAAATTAAAAAGCCAACATTATAAAGCCATTGTACAAAACACTGGTAAGGCCGCACCTGGAGTATTGCGTACAGTTCTGGTCGCCGCACCGCAAAAAAGACATTGTGGGACTGGAAAAGGTGCAGAAGAGAGCGACTAAAATGATGACTGGGCTGGGGCACCTCCTTTATGAGGGAAGGCTACAGCATTTGGGGCTCTTTAGTCTAGAGAAAATGTGCCTGATGGGGGATATGACTAAGACGTATAAAATTATGTAGCGGATGGATAAAGTGGATAGAGGGAAGCTCTTTTCCCTCTCATGTAATACTAGAACCAGGGGACATCCACGTAAATTGAGTGTTGGGAGAGTGAGAACAGACAAAAGAAAATATATCTTGACCCAGCGTGTTGTTAGTCTGTGGAACTCCTTGCCACAGGATGTGGCAATGGCATCTGGCCTAAATGCCTTTAAAAGGGGATTGGACAGATTCCTGGAGGCAAAGTCCATCGCAGGTCACAAGCCATGAAGGGGATGTATAATCTCCAGACATAGAAGGAAGGGACCTCCAAATACCAGATGCAGGAGAGGGGTATCAGGAGACAGGTATCTAGTGGTCTCGTGTGCTCCCAGAGGCATCTGCTGAGCCCCCTGTGAGACAGGCGGGGCTGGACTAGAGGAGCCCTTGGCCTGATCCAGCAGGACTCTGCTTGTGTTCTTATATATGTAATGTAAAGCTATGCCTGCCTTTTGAAACTTTCTAGCCTGCCACAATCTTCATGAGTGCTAACCAGATGAAGTCCTATGGGAAGCACCCTTGCCTCTAGAAACCTTTTCCCTCCCTTAGATCCATCCACCAGAGAAGGGTTATCTCTGTGAATGTTTTCAAGTGTCAGAGGATTGTAAAGTTATTCATGATGTAGAAAAAGTGGATGGATGGGGCAGAAATATTATTTGGAATCATCCCCATTGTAAGGAGAAGGCTGGGGTGTGACCTTACTTTTTATAGTACAGTTCCTTGCCTAATTCCATGGAATTATTCCATGTGTTGGACACTTTGGCATAAGGAATTGGTGGTGTGAAGAGTTCTGTCTTCCTGGTACGGCACTCTTTATGCAAAGAAAGAAAGAAAGAACTGCCGGGTCTACAATCAGTTTGTAGCCTGTCTTATGTTTGTTGCATTCCACTCTCAGTCCTGAAGGATCTGCACCATCCCAGCTTCACCTTCTCATGCTCTGTTTCTCTTCCTTCCAGCATGCAGGAATCCATCCTGGCCCAAGTGCAGCGAGTGATTAAAGGAGAGGTCAGTGTGGCCATGAAGGAGCAGCAGGCGGCTGTCACGTCCAGCATTATGCAGGCCATGCGCTCGGCCGCCGGCACCCCCGTCCCCGCCACTCACCTGGACTTCCCGTCACAGCAAGCGCATGTGCTGCAGCTCCTGCAACAGGGACACCTGAATCAAGCCTTCCAGCAGGTATGCCTTCACTCCACCCAGAGAGACCGAGCATTCACCCAGCTGCTGCCCCTTGGAAGACCAAGAGATCTACTAGATCTTTAGGGGATCAGTTCGTTACAAAGTTTGAATGTTTTCCCCCAGCATCTGCAGTCAGCTGAGGAGCTCAAAGTGACCCACAATATTTTGATTAGCAAGCTAAGTAAGTGTGGGCTGGATAAAGCAACTATCAGATGGATTCACAGGTGGTTACAGAACCATAATCGGAGGGTGATGATTAATGGCTCCTTCTCAAACTGGGAAGAGGTCACAAGTGAGGTATAAGTTTGAATGTTTTCCCCCAGCATCTGCAGTCAGCTGAGGAGCTCAAAGTGACCCACAATATTTTGATTAGCAAGCTAAGTAAGTGTGGGCTGGATAAAGCAACTATCAGATGGATTCACAGGTGGTTACAGAACCATAATCGGAGGGTGATGATTAATGGCTCCTTCTCAAACTGGGAGGAGGTCACAAGTGGGGTATCTCAGGGCCCAGTCCTGGGCCCAGTGCTCTTCAACATTTTTATTAATGACCTGGGTCAGGAGGTTCAGGGAATGTTAATCACATTTTTATTAATGACCTGGATCAGGAGGTTCAGGGAATGTTAATCAGATTTGCGGATGACACAAAATTGAGTGGAATATATAATATCCTGGAGGACAGAAACAAAATTCAAAATTATCTAGATAGACTTGAACACCGGGTTGAAAGCGACAGAATGAAATTTAACAGAAATAAGTGCATGAAGAAGAAACCAAAATCGCAGTTACAACTTGAGGGATACTTGACTCAGAAATATTACATGCAAGTAGGAACTTGGGATTGTTGTAGATCACAAGCTGAAGATGAGCCAGCAGTCGTATGATGCAGCTGTAAAAAAAAAGACCAGGGGTTTTAGACTGCACTAACAGAAATATTGCCTCCAGATCCCATGAAGTACTAGTTCTCCTCCATTCAGCACTGGTTAGACCTCCTCTTGAGTCATCTATGCCCAGTTCTCGACATCACTCTTTTAAAAGGTTACTAACAAACTAATGAGATGGCTGGACAGTGTCTGCGAAGCAACCAGCATGAAATTGACACAACTACGGGAGGCAGTGGAAGATAGGAGGGCCTGGCGTGCTCTGGTTCATGGGGTCATGAAGAGTCGGACATGGCTAAACGACGACGACAAACTAAAACAAGTTCAAGTCGGACACGACTAAACGACAACGACAAACTAAAACAAGTTCAGAGGAGGGCATCAAGAACGGTCAAGGGACTGGAAACCAAGTCCTGTGAGGAAGAGTGAAAGAACTGGGCCTTTTAAGTCCTGAGAATAGAAGACTGAAGGATATGATAAAAAGGTAAAGGTTAGGTAAAGGTTCCCCTTTCTTAAAAGATTGTCATATACAGTGGTGCCTCGCTTAACGAGCGCACCGTTTAATGACGAATCCACATAGCGATCTATTTTTTTAGATCGCTAATGCGATCGCATTGCGATGTTCTGAATAGGCAAAGCATCGCATTGCGATGATTGGTAAGCGTTTTGCTTACCGATCTTCGCATTGCGATGTTTTTTAAACAGCTGATCGGCGGTTCCAAAATGGCCGCCGCAAGTGTTTTCGCGCCCTGCCCTCACCGAGGGCGCGAAAATGGCGGCGCTATGGAGGAACTTCGCTGAATGGTGAGTTTGGGAGCCATAGGAACGCTTTTTCCGTTCCGTTTAGCCATGTTTCTGCATAGCAACAATCCAGAACGGATTAACGTCGCTATGCGGGACACCACTGTATAGGGATGGCAGAATCTGTTCTCAATCCTTCTAGAGTGTAAGACTTGTAATAATGGACTTAAGTTACAGGAAGCCAGATTTTGGTTGAATATCAGCAAATAACATCTTAACTCTTAGGGCTGTATAAGAATGAAACCAATTACCCCAGGAGGTGCTGAGCACTCCTGCACTGGAGGCATTCAAGTGAAAGTTAGACTTGTCAGATCTGCTTTGATTTGGATTCCTGGATTGAGCAAGGGGTTGGACTTGATAGCCTTTAGGCTCCTTCCAACGCCATTGTTCTGTGGGTTTTTTTTGATAAAGTCTAGCTTGAAACATCTTCATTGGTGTCTGCATTATGACTGAATCTTTCATGAGAGTCTCTTCAGAGGACTGCTGATAGCCTGCTATTGAACCAGGGGACATACGGAGCAGTCTTGTGATTCGCAGGAGAAAATCTAGATATAGCTACACATAGCCACCATTCTATAGACTTTGTATTCATGGTAATGTAATTTGGATTACTAACTCTTTACCATGTGTTGGATCTGTCTTTGGTATTTGCACTTCAGGTTGAAAAAGTGTATGTAGCCCCTCCCCTACACGTGCTAAGACTCAGAGATGCATAAAGTGTATGAATAGAGAGGTCTTCCTCCTTATGGTAGCAGAACTCATGTTACTTGATGGATTTATGAGCAATAACCAGACCTTAGAAGAGTGCCTTTTTGGATTCCAGTTGTCAGAATCTCCAGACAGCAAGGTCCTCATGATACTTTAAAGAGTTGGGAGGTTATAATCCCCCCCCCCAAATGTTCTGGGAAGGCAGTCTTTGGCCCCAAGTTCCTGAGGCTACCAGCATTCCTTTTTACCGTTCCATAGTTACTTACTCTTTGAAAGTCCTGATAAGGATGTTGTGGCGTTCACCCTCGTGTCCCTTTCTTGACCATCAAGACTCAGAGCACACGAAGGCAATCAAAACCCTTTTACACTGCTGCCACCAGGTGGTCACCAAATTACCATTACTTCAGGAAGATAAAGATTCAGGTCCACACTTCAAGGTCTTTTAAATAGAACTTTTGTTTATTGATTACAGAAATTGATAGTGATTAATGAATATCTTCTATAGGTAAATTTATTATTAACCACAACCTTCTATTTGATAATACACTCCTAATTCTAATCACACCTCAGAATTCCCCAAACTCCACACTCTATCTCCTTCTCCCTTCCTCTCACTCTCCTCCAACTCCTCTGCCTTTTTCTGACTTTCTGACTCCGCCTCTTATAGTATCTCTCTCGGCTCTGCCTCTCAGCAGCATGAATATGCATGAACGATTACATAACAAAACATGAACCATTGACCTAATAAAGGGGAATGCTACAGATGTTGTCCATTATGTTACAAGTCAGTCACATGGAAAGTCCATCGTACTGGAGAGTCCACAAATACTGAGAAAGAAAGACTTTCCTGCCTTCATGTATTACCAAAAGTCAGAAAGGAGGGATGGATCACTTATCCTGTTTCTGTTCCTGAAGCTTCCAGCTATTCGAGACCGCTGATATGCAGATACTACTGGGATACTTCCTCTCTTTCTTGCAGGCCCTCACGGCAGCCGATTTGAATCTGGTTCTCTACGTCTGTGAGACGATGGACCCTCAGCAAGTATTTGGGCAGCATCCCTGCCCGCTGTCCCAGCCTGTCCTTTTGTCTCTCATTCAGCAGCTCTCCTCAGACTTGGGAGCTCGGACGGAGCTCAAACTGAAGTGAGTACTGCATAGTCAAGTGTAAAGGCAAGCGAGTCCTCGTTTCCAAAAGAAAAGGGCATCTGCTCTCAACAGCCAAACTATCGATTCTTCTATAGTCTATGCTTTAAGAACAAAATATAAGAAAAGTTAAGTTTCTGTGTCAGGAAAAGCTAACTTTGCAACTTCTGTAGAGTATGTCATTGTGTTTCCCGTAGTGTGAATCTAATTTTCCAAGTCACAGAGGTGTGAAGTACAATGTCTCAACTAGTGAGACCTCACTGGTAATTGTACCCAGCTGTCTGTTGGACGTCCGAGATAAAATGGCAGTTCTTCACAATATGAAATACATATTTGCATCTATAGTTAGTAGTAATGTTTCTTCAGTTCAGAAAGAAAGAAATAAGTGCTCAAAAAGCTAGATGTTATGTTTTTTCTCTCTACTTCCATGGGCTTTTAATATACCCACTCAGCCCATGCTCCTCTCTCTTTTACACAGTTACCTGGAGGAAGCGGTGATGCATCTAGACCAGAGTGACCCCATCACCCGGGACCACATGGGCTCAGTTATGAACCAAGTGAGGCAGAAGCTCTTCCAGTTCCTGCAAACAGAGCCTCACAACAGCCTAAGCAAGCCTGCACGCCGACTTATGATCATGCTTCAAGGCCTGGTCACTCCCGGCATGTCTTAACAAGGCTCTGACCACCTTTACACAATGGCACCTGGAATTGCTAACTGAACATGGCTGGTTCTCCCCCACCCCCCTTTCATCTTCTAAAGCACACACTGAGAGAAAAATGACAAGTGTGTGAATGGGCAAGTGCTGTGGATTGAGTCCAGTTGTGTTAGCCATGTTTAATCAAAGCATATTTACTTTTCTGTGCAAGCAGACCCCCCCCACCCTGCATTTGCCTTTCTTTGTACTTCACACAAGTTGATGTGCAGAGAGAGATACTCTTAATTCCATAGTTCTCCAGTTTTAAAGCTTGGAGTCCCCTCTTCTCAAGGACTTTGGGGTTTGGAGGTTCTGTGAACATCCCTTGGGTTTCTTCAATTGCCCACCTGAGGTGAACAGGCTAGAAGTGTTAATTCAAGGTAATGATGAGTGGGAGGATCACAGCAGCCCTGGTGCAGTATCCAAGTTCATGAAGCTCACCCTTGCTGGGAAGCAGTGATAGTCTTTATATGATGTAGCATGTTCATGGTTCAAATAATTCCTTTCGTTTGGTTTGGTTTTTGGCTTTTTCATTTATTTTCTTTCCTTTTTAACTAGAATCTTTATCTTTGATTTTGGAGTAACATTTAAAAATTCAATAAACAACTTTTTGGAGGAAAAACAAACTGCTGTTTTTGTTCCTTGATGTGTTTTTGTACCTAGTTGTGGGGTCATGAGTTGGCCGTGTTGATTTTTGATGGCCATATTCACTTCTGTGAAGCTGGAGAAGGCGGCAAACGTAGCTGAGATCTCTACCAAGTAAAGATTCTGGCTCCATACTCCCCAAACCCCCTACAATTCCCAGCTGCTTGAAATTTTTCCAAACTATTCTACTGTCATGTTACAGGAGTATAACCAAATAAAGGCTATCTCATTAAGACAGCTTGATGAAGGGGCACTACCTTCCCTCCACCATGCCAGAGTTGGGGGCAAAGCCAAGAGTCAGCTCCATGACGTTTGAAGAATGTGGACAACCTTGTTCTAGGTCGATTGGCAAGGGAAAGGGATCTGCAGCCTGCTGAACAAGAGAAGAAAAGAAAGAGGGAGGGCGAGAATGGCGATCCACCTCTTTTTCGAGTCTGGCACTTCATCTCTATCCAACACACGCATGCACCCTTCAAAAGACAACAGCTCCACCCCTCTTGTGGAACATGGTTATTTCCATCATATCATGATTAATATAGCCCACAATCTTACCAATAATGGCAACCTTTCTTACACAGCTATTAATCCCAGTTCTTGTTGTATCCAGGATCTCTGCTGTGCCCTGTATATTCACAGAATAAATCCTCCGCCATGTGCTAACCCTATTCCTTCTGCAATCTTGTGCTCCTGATAAACTAAGACTGATGAGCAGCGTGAGAACTGGGAGGGTGGATAGGAGGGGAGCTTAATAGCCCAAAAGTATTTTATTTAGTTGCACTCCAAAAATAAAAGTACAATAGTGGATGATTGACTTGCTCTACTAATCTTTTTTTTTCTCCCTTGAGATTTCCTTGGTTAAATCCTCCTCTCTCTTTTTGTGACCCTCTTGGTTTTGCCCCCATTTGCTCCTAACCAAGCACCAAGAAAGCCATTTAACAGGCTTTGCAACTGTGACAACCCAATTGTTCCCAAAGCATCAAGGTTTTTGTGATTTAAGACAGCGGTCCTCAACCTTTTTGGAACCGCAGGCCGGTTGGGGGTGCTCTGCATGGAGGGGGCACAACCGCGCCCATGGATGGGCGTGTCACACATCCACACAAGCACAACATCCCCCCAAGAGCGCGACACGCCCACCATGTGGGCAGCCAGAGAGGCGGAGATCCATCTCTGTGGCCCAGTCCTGGGAAGCCCACGGACAGGCGCCGGGCCGCAGACCAGGGTTGGGGAACCCTGGTCTAAGGCAAATGTTACAACATCCCACATCCCTATTTGCTGTGGTTTTTGTCACCAGTGAAACAAGCTATACTACTGTCACTTGCAGTGCGAGTCATAAAACTTGAAGATTGTGCCATGTATTTTTCTTTCAACAGCTGTTAACAGCTGTATCAGTATGATTCTGCTGCGCCCATCAGGGCACATGGAAGTGCGCTCTGATGCAAGGCTTGTGAGGAACTTGACTTCTCCATAGGCTGAGAGACACAGACTCAGCTCTCAGTGTGGCTGTGGATTTTCGATTAGCGAGGATGATAATGCTGCCTACTCTGCACCCCGTCCCCAGCATTCTTTGTTCTTCTGTGCACAGCTGACTTCCTCACAATCAGGGATGCATCTCAGGAGGTCCAGGGGCCATTTCCCATACATCCCTTATACCCAGCACAGCTTACATTACCCATTTGAGCAAAATAGATTCACAGAAAGGGTTTTTTATTTTTTTGCTTTTTTATTATTTAAATTCAACATACAAAAAACAAATAGAGAAAGAAAAAAGAGAATAATAAAAAAAACTAAACCCTCTACTAAACTAAACCCTCCTCCCTTTGGAGTCAGAGACTCCAGCCTCGTTAACCCTCCGCTCTCCCCCGTTTGGTTTCCAGTGTAAACTAAGTAGATATACATATATAGTAAAATTTGCCCTAGGTTCCTGTCTTCCTCTGGGCCCAAGAATATATTAGTTCCCAGCTTTGTTTTACATAGTCTCTTGGTTGTTCCCGTAGTGCTTCTGATAAAGTGTCCAGTTCTGCTATATCCCATAGCTTCTTTAACAACTCTTCTATCGTTGGGACCTCTTCGCTTTTCCATTTTTGGGCCCAGAGTAATCTAGCTGCTGTGAGTATATACATTAGACAGTCCTTCAGTTTTTTATCATTAATTCCAGGGATGACATTCAATAATGCCATTTTAGGTTTTATATCTAGTTTCTGCTGAGTAATTTCTTTGACTTACTCCCACACCTGTGTCCAATAATTTTTGACTTTTTCGCATGTCCACCACATATGATAACATGCATTTTATCATATGTGGTGGACATCCTGCATTTTTTTACACTTCCAACATATATTGCTGTTACTCGCTGACATTTTTGCTAGTCTTACAGGTGTGTAGTGCCATCTGTAAAACATTATGAGGATATTTTCTCTGAGATTTGCTGGTTTAAACATCTTATAGCCTTCTTTCCACATTTTAGTCCCATCATTTTGTTATATCAAAAAAAAAATTGCCCATTTTACCATCGTCTCTTTCACCCTCTCATCTAAATCATATTCTAATAAGTATGTATACATTTTTAATTATTCTTTCATCAGTATATATCCACAGTCTATCCACCTGTACTTTGCCCTCAAAGAAACCTACAGTCCTATCTTTTTATATCTTGATTTTAATTTCACCATTGACCACCAATCAACAGCTACACCCAATTTTTCAAGCTCTTGCTTGTCCTTTATCTTCTGCTCTTTAGTTAACAGATTTTCATATGTGGTCAACATTCCTTTCTGGTTGAAGACTTTTAATGTAAATGCTTCTATAAGCGCCACCCACAATGGGATTTTCTTATAGTTTTGTGCTTGGAATTTTTGCCATACTATCCTTAGGGCCTACCTAAGGATATGTTCTCCAAACTGTAAGTGTTCCTTGTGTCTCCCGTACCATACATATGTGTGCCATCCCATCTTTAGGTCATGTCCCTCCTGTTTCATAAGTCTTTGATTTTCTAAGGTTATCCATTCTTTAATCCAGGTCAGAGCGCAGGCCTTATAGTATAGTAGCCAATTCGGTAGGCCCACTCCCCCCCCCTTTCTTTCAGATCTTGTAGCAATTTAAGTTTTATTCTTGGCTTCTTAGGTTTCCAGAGGAAATTTGATGTTAAGCTGTCCAAGTCCTTGAAATACTTAAAGTTCAGTAGTATTGGGAGATTTGGGAATAAGAATAGGAGTTTCGGTAAAATCATCATTTTTATTGTTGAAATTCTTCCCCTAAATGAGAGTTGTAGTTTGCTCCATTCCTCAAGATTTTTCTGAATCACTTTCTGTATTGCTAAATAGTTTTCTTTCATTAAATTGCTTCATTTTTTGGTGATGACCACTCCTAAATATTTAATTTTTTTCACCGCCTCAAAATTGGAGTTCCGTGCTAATTTTTCCAGAAAGGGGTTTTGAGGCTTCGAAAGGTGCTAACAATGTGCCTCATTTTAGATGATAATAGAGGTTTCCAAGATACTATTCCACTTTGGGGTAGTATTGTTGACTGGACTTGGGAGACCATAAAGTAGCAGTGGGATGGTAACGCTGGATCTTACTGTTGTGAGCTGTCCATGTTCTGATGCAGACATGTAATGCGGTAGAACAGAAAGGACAGAAATACCAGTGTTTTTTTTAACTTTTAATTAATATGTTGCTGTGAGGATTATAACAATGATTACTTGTATTTCAAAATGTATCACTACACCACTGAACCTTCATGCCTCCTCACAATGGTGGAAGTGCTGTTCCTAGATCAGTATTTCAAGAGTAGACAGGTTGTGCAAATCCTCTTTCACCCTCATTAAGAGGTTCTTTAATTCCTTCTCCCTTTCTGC